CCCGATCCCCGGTCCCACTGTGGAAATCCCAGCCGGAGAACCACCTTGGTGAGGTATAATCTTCTGTTGTTTCCTCGGCGACCCATGTGCCAACATTGGTGATGATGCTGAGCCCGTGTTCATGTTCATGTTCATGTTTATCGTATTCCCAGACGGTATCGCTGCTGCCGCCGCCGACGACGACAACGGTGGGTTGTAATTGTTTGGATTCGTCACAGACGGAGGTGCACTAGAATAAAGCGTGGTCATGCTCATGCTCATCGGGGTGTGGGATGGAATGTTGGTGCTGTTCATCGAGTTCACGGTAGCTGAGGAAGGAGACGGATGGTTGTTGGAGTTGGTCGGATTACCATGGACATTGGGGTTATGAGATTGAGAATGATGAGGACCAACTACGCCGTTAATCAACGGCTGAGGATTAGGCATCGACTCTCGTATCTTTTCTGCCATTTTCGAAAGAGCCTCTGTGTTATGTGGATATATATATAAATATATATTCTATTCAAAGTAGGATAAAAAAAACTCACCCAACGGCCCTAACCCTTCCTCCTTTGAAAACACAATCAGATCTCCCATCTGACTCACACTCTCCGCCAGCTCCAGACATCTCATCGTAGCCTGGGGTATCCCGAACGCGTTCACAGGCTCACCGGGGATGAACCCTTGGGAGATGAGGACCCGGGGTTCGTCCCATTGAGAGGGGCTGTAAGAAGAATAAGAAGAAGGGGGTTGGGAGGTAGAGGAATTCATACTCCCATTCCCATTCGAATTAAGATTATAAGGAATAGAAAGTTGGGAAGACGAAGGATAAGGATACGAAGATCCCGGATAGACATTAACCCCCATACCCTCATCCAACTCTCCTCCATGTCCAGAACCATTAACCACAGGCGAGGATGTAGAATTACCAGGAGAAGAATTTAAAGTAGAAGCGCCAACAGCAGCGACAGGCGCTCCGTTTCTTATCAACACCTGTGCTTGTGCGTTCCTCATCCTTGGCGTAGACGTATTCGACCCTCCCGGTGTCGCCCCACCCATCGTCGGCGTACCACCCATCGTCGTCGTCGTCCCAGAAGAAGGTAACGTTTGTTGCGCAGAAGGAGTAGGACCAGAAGGAGGAGGCGGAGGCGGTAGATACCCCTTCGGACTCTCTATACTCCTCGGCCCCATGATACTTTCCAAAGCAATATACTTGTCATGAAAGGTCGCGTCGAATTGGAAATCTTCGAATTTTAGCTGGAATTTTTGGTTTTGGTTTTGGTTCTGGGCTTGGGTTCCTCCTCCCTGTGTGGCTTGAGCTTGGGCTGGTCCTTGGCCTATTCCTGATCCGTTGAGGACATTATTGGTTGTAGCTGCCGCCGGCCCATCTCCTGCCCCTCCCCCCGGCCCAGTCCCAGGAACAGCAGTGACAACGACATGGACAGTCAAAGGTCCTCTCAACGCAACCGTGTATCCATTACTATACCTATACGTCCACACCGCCGCCACACATTCTACAATCGCATGTCCATACGCATAGAGCCTCTCCCTCGCTCCATCAAGCGTGAGGGTCATAGATTTCACTCCGGATTGGGTAGTGACAAGGAGGAAGCGAGGAAGAATAGGTACGCCGATTTCTGTGTAGAGTGGTTATTTTAGAACGAATATATATAAATAAACTGGAAACACTAACCAAAAGGCTTCGCTTCATTCCTCTCATTATCCCTCCACAACGTAAATTTCATTATCGCCTTTGGTGTAAAATACTCCCTTATCAACTCATTCCACCACGATAACTGGTGTTTTTGTTTTGACTCTGACGCGAGGTTACCTGAGAATTGGAGCAGACGGATGAGGCCTTGGCCGTGTCCGAGCGCTGTCAGTGGGGTTCTGTTCAGTCGAGTAGGAAGGTATTATTATCAGATTTTGAAAAAAAAAGGAAAAGATAACTCACATAGACTCGCTCCCATGTCTCCCTAATTGTACACCCTGTCCTCCCTGTCCTTGTCTTCCTTGGACAGCATTGACCACATTCACCGCATTAGTTGAACCAGGCGGCGGCGGCGGACCTTGTTGTGCAGAATGTCCAGGACCAGGAGCAATTGGTATCCCACCCGAAGCCAAGGTCGGCATTTGCATCGATGAAGGCATAGACATAGGTAATCCTCCCGATACCGCCCTCCCAACATCCATACCCTGCGCAGTCGGAGGAAAACCGAAATGCAAAGCCGGAGGAGGCGAAGGCAACGGCGAAGACGAAGTTGGAGGAGGGTTAGCGTTATTATGATTACTATTCATCGACCTCATCCCAAACTCCATTCCATCCATATCCATCCTCTCTGTATCCATCCTCTCTCTGCCTTCCATCCGATCTATTCTTTCTATTCCCTCCATACGTTCCATCCCCATACGTGATGAAGGAGGTCCCATACCCATACCCATAGCCATACCCATAGCATTCGTATTCGTGGTACCAGGATTAGAATTCACATGCACAGATCCTAGAGCTTGTGATGGTAGAGCTTGTGCTTGACGCCCGTGCCCGTGTTGCCCGTGTTGTCCAGGTCCAAGCTGTCCAGGATGATGAGGACCCCCATGTACATGTCCATTTCCATGTCCCGGCTGCCCAGGTACAGGAAGCCCATGACCATGACCGTGTCCATGTCCAGGATGTTGAGGCCCGGCATGCGAATGCGGCCCAATCGAACCCGGCCCAGGTCGAGGAGCTATATTCGCCAAGCCACTAGACGACTGAGGTCTCCCTCCTTGTCCCGCTCCCTGTCCCTGGCTTAAACCACCAAGACCAAGACCGTTAGATGATTGAGGTCTCCCTGCTTGACTTACTACTCCTACTCCTCCTGGTCCCTGACCGGGTGGTTGATTTTGATTCTGATTCTGGTTTTGGTTTAGGTGCTGTCCGAGCCCTGGACCAGGCTGTCCTCCTCCCTGTCCCGGATGTCCTACTTGTCCTGGCTGCTGTCCTGGCCCTATCTGCCCTTGTCCCAAACCCAGCTGTTGCGAGCCCAACGACACTGGTACCCTCCCAGTTCCAGAAATCCCAGAAGGCATCATCCCAGACTGGGACGTTAACGCACCCGGATGCGAATGCGAATTAGGGTTAGGGTTAGCATGCGGGTTCAGATGAGAATGAGAGTGAGAATGCGAATTGGGATTTGAATGGGAGAGTGACGGCTGAGAAGGATTATTTGGTTGAGGAGGAGGTAGGCCCATACCCATACCCATACCAGATCCTGCAAGTTGAGGATGAGGATGAGGATGAGGATGAGGGTGCTGTGTCGATGGTGGTGGAAACATCCCTCCTCCTCCTCCTCCTCCCGTTCTAGAAGCCGAACGCGAAAGCGTAGGAGGTCTACCTTGAGCCGAAGGCGAAGAAGAACCAGAACCAGAACCACCCAAACTTGACTGTGGTCTGCTCGGGGTAGGATACATATTTTCTATAACCTGATTTGGATTTGGCGGCGAAGAAGACGAATGTTGGTTTGTCCCGCTCTGATTATTCTGGTTGATCTGATTGTGATTGTGGTTGTTCATGTTGAGATTACTGGGATGTGGGGGATGAGGGACGGGGTTTTGTGTAAACGGGTGGTTTAATTGGTTTGGAATAGTGTTAGGATCCATGTTGGGCATATTTCGGATATTGTTGGGGATGGCGTTCATATTTATCGGTGCTGGACCGTGCATTCCAAGTCCTCCGGTGTTGAAAGGTAGATTATTATTATTAACAGACGCTGCTTGTGCTTGTGCTTGTTGTTGATCCTGCATCTGTTGAAACTGCTGTGCGGGTGTGAGCGTGAAGGGGGTAGATAATTGGGTGTTTGGGTTCGAATTGGGATTGGGATTCGGAGGAGTCCGAGGTTGATGAGAGGATCCATTAAAAATCACATCCTCTGGTGTTAATCTTCGATTTGGTAGTCCTGATAAACAAATATCCGTCACTCGAACCAATCAACCAAAACAAAACTTACCAGGCGGAGGCTGAGAAAGACTGTTCATCAATGGACGAGAGGGACCAGGTACTGCAAATTGTTGCCTCTGTTGTTGCTGTTGTTGTTGCTGTTGTTGCTGCTGTTGTTGTTGGTGGTGGTGTTGGTGTTGAGGTCCACGCAGATGAGGAGGTATTCCACCCATACCCATATTCATACCCATATCACCCATTCCACCTATATTACCCATCCCTCCTAGCCCACCTGGTCCCATCTGCGGTTGCGAGCTCACTCGACGAAGTCCTCCAGGTCCACCTCCAGGTCCAGGTCCTCCACCACCAGGAAACCCTTGAGGTGGTAAACCACCCCGTATCCCTCCCCTCTGTTGATTCCCTAACGAAGGTTGTGGGCCTCCCTGCGGAAACCTGTTCATACCACCAGGCGCCGACGACGAGTTGAGTGAATTGAGTGAGTTTGGTGGAGGACCCATTCCATTCATCGTCGAACTGTTCATAAACCCAAGCTGTCCAGGTCCAGGTCCAGGTCCGTTCAGCCCGTTCAGCACGTTCATGTTCATGTTCATGTTCATCATTGGTTGTCCAGGCTGTCCAGGCTGTCCAGGCTGGTTTTGTCTGAGCATTTTTTTCGTGGACGATCTAACCTGCAAAAATCGTCGAACTAAGCGGGGGAGGCGTCGCAACGTGGATCAAAAGCCTCGTAGAAAACGAGAGTCTGGTGTTTGACACTGATAATGGAGATCAAGCCTGCTGGCTTGTGTGAGGCTTATGAGTTATGAGCGAGTAAAAAGCAAACTTTAACTTTAAAACACACCAAGTACTTCACAGCTGAGTTCAAATCTCTTGCGCGGCCCGGGCTCACCTCAGATGGAAGCACCGGACACTATTACCACCATTCTAAACTATTTCTTTCTTACACATTCTGGATTCCTTTATATGCTACCTTGATAAACAAGCACTCGCATTCTGCACTCGAAAAAGAAAAGAAAAGGTAAAACCAGAGAAAACACAAAAAAAAGACCAAAAAAACTAATTTACATTAAAAAAATAAAGAGTGAATTGACCACCGCAGGGGTCGAACCTGCAATCTCCTGATAATTGATTCACATTCGCAATTCGTAGTCAGACGCGATGCCATTTCGCCAGGCGGCCTATACCACACCTGTACCCAACTCCATATAACAAATAAATTTCCTCACAATTCCCGTGACTCGTGACCCGTGACCCGTGATCCGTGATCTCCATCTCTCCCCTCTCCATCTCTCTCCCTCCATCCCCATCTCCATCTCCTTCGCCCGTCTCTCCTCCCAAAGTCCCTGTTCCCATCCCCATCCAATCCCAACCCACGAATTAATCCAACTTCAACCCAAAACACCCCAAACCCAAAAAAAAAAACACCCAAAAACCCAAAAAAAAAAAAAAAACCCAAAAAACCCAAAGAAACCATGGTCCGAAAACTCAAACACCACGAAGGAAAGCTTCTCAAAAAAGTTGATTTTTTGAATGTACGTTGTTCTTTTCTGAGTGAATGAAGTGACTTCGTTTCTTGAGCGAATGAGCGAATGAGTCGACTTCGTTCTTCTCCCTCTCTTCCTCTTCCTCTTCCTCCTCTTCCTCTTCCTCCTCCCTCTCTCTTTCCTCTCTTTCCTCCCTATTCACGCCTTTCCCGCCTTTCACGCCTCCCCCTCTGACGCCTCCCTATAACCCTCCTTTAGTGGAAACAAGACTCCAACCTCCGTCAAATCAAAGTAATGCGCCGATATCATATCCAAAACAGGGAGGATTATCAAAAGTATGTCGTTTCCCCCTTCCTACTTCCTTCCCCTCCCCTCACCCACCTCACACACAGATACAACACCCTAATCGGACACCTCCAAACCCTCCTCACCAACCTCACCCACCTCCCCCCTCTCTCCCCCTTCCGCACCCACCTCGAATCCCAAATCCTCTCCAAACTATCCGACATCGGCCTTCTCCCTTCCTCCTCCCCCTCCTCCTCTTCCTCTTCCTCTTCCTCCTCTTCCTCCTCTGCGAAACTCTCAGACATCCGCAAACTCACCGTCTCCGCGTTTTGTAGACGCCGATTGGGGGTTGTGATGTGCCGAAGGGGGGGAGGAGGGCTGGGGATGGCGGAGAGCGTGGGGTCTGCGACGAGGTTTGTGGAACAGGGACATGTGAGGGTTGGGACGGAGGTGGTTAGGGATCCGGCGTATTTGGTTACTAGGTGTGTTGTGTTTGGGGGGGTGTTTTTTTTGGGGTGTTGGAGTTGGAGTTGGAGTTGACGCTGACTCGGTTTTGTTTTTGTTTTTTTTGTTTTTTGTTTTTTTTTTTTTTTTGATAGAAGGATGGAAGACTTTGTTACGTGGGTAGACACGTCGAAGATGAAGAGGACGGTTATGAGATATAACGATGAGGTGCGTTTTTTGTTTTTTTTTTCTTCTGTCGTATCCTATCCTATCCCATCCTATTTTACAGCTGGACGACTTTGATTTACTCTAATAACCACCACACACGACTCATCAAGTCAACATCCCTTTAACCCAATATCTCATCAAACCAAACCAAAACCCAAACCAAGTACGTACAACCCGCTATTTCTCGACGGAACGACGGAACGAGTCCAATCCCGGTATCGTCCTTACCTTGGCGAGCTTGTATCGAGAAACGAAGCGAGCGCGAAAACCGAATACTGAATACTGAATACCGAATACTGAATACCGAATACCGAAAACCGAGCGGAGAGAGTAATACGAGGAAAGAGTAATACGAGAAGAGGGAAGAGCAAAAAGAGAGAGGTAGACGTAGACGTAGTTAGACTCGGAGATACCTCACCAGGGGGTACTTACTTGCCCAGTTTGCCAATTCCATAATTGCACGATAACTGATTGATAAGTAAAATTTGAGCACTTACGTAGTATCGATGAAACGTCCAACCACCCAGCTCCGTTGAACACCCAACTCTGAACAACGTTCAAACCCGATGGTGGACCTTTCACATACACAGGTGACAGGCTGGATTTTCCGTGTTCTTTCCGTGTACTTTCCGGGTCCCTCCTTTCCGGTGCTCCCTAAGTATACAACATCTCAACGTCCTAACGTCCCGTGCTCCCAACGTCCCGACGCGTTTCACCCTACAACGTCCAACCTTCAACGTCCAACCTTCAACGTTCCATATTCAACTTCAGCGTTCAACGTTCAACCTTCAACGTTCCATATTCAACTTCAGCGTTCAACGTTCAACGTTCAACTTCACCTTAAACGTCCAACGTTCAACTTCAACGTTCAAGAATCAATCTTCAACCTTAAACGTCTCGTCCTAACCTCCCAACGCCCAAACTTCAGCGTTCCAGCTTTCCAGCTTTCTAGCGTTTACAACTCATGTTTTCGAGCTAAGCCAGGTTGACTCTTGAGCTACATACATAATTGTCTCTTGTCTTGTTTCTTGTCTTCTGTCTCTTGTCTTGTGTCTTCTGTCTTCTGTTAATGTCAACGTCAACGTCAACGTCTATCAAATCAATCATAAATCCAACAGAAGCCAACAGATCATTATCACTTCCCAATCCTTCCCTGATATTCCGTGCTATTTCCTGATATTCCCTGATATTCCGTGTCTTTTGCGAGCTTTTGCGAGCTTTTGCGAGCTTTTGCGAGACCGAGAGATCAAGAGACCAAGAGACTAAACGAGACCAAACGAGACCAAGAGAAACGGAGGGAAACGGAGGGAGACGAAGGGAGATGTAGATGAGGGGTCCGAGGGCTCCGATGGGTAACAGGGTCTAACGCCCATCGGATAGGACAACTCACCTTCTGACAAGATTACTACAAGATTACTACAAGATTACTTACAAGATTACAAGATTACAAGATTACAAGATTACAAAATCACACAGATAATAGATTGACATTTGACAACCCCACTACATACGAGGTAAATACCTCAATACCCCTCACCCCTCACACCCTTTCTTTTTTCTCTCTTCTCTCTTCTTCCTTTTTCTCTTCCCCATCCCCGTCCCCGTCCCATCCCCATCCCAATCCCAATCCCATCCCAATTCCCCCAATTCCCCCAATTCCCCTACTTTCCCAAATCTCACCAATGCAAAACCAAATACAAACGATAAAAACAAACCCAGACCGTAGACCCCTCCCTCCGGGATGGAAAGAGACATATAACGCACAGTACGTGTTTTTGTTGTTTGTTTATTTGTTTATTCGTTGATCGTGAACTGTTAAATCGTTATTCGTCGTTAGGAAAGATACCTGGTGAGTCTTTTCCTCCCTCCCTCTCTCATTCATTCCTAATCCTCATCCCTCCCCTGATCCTAATCCCTCCCCGTTCTCAGGTACTACACCCAAACAACCACCTCCCCCCCTCGCGTATCGTATTTCCATCCCTCGGATGAGTGTTATTCTGGAAGTGGGTATCGGAGTGGGAGTGGGAGTGGGGAGCCAGGAGGTGTTGGAGGTGGATATGGTGGTGGAGGTGGGGATCAAGGAGGTGGGATTGGTGGATATGGTGGAAGTGGAAGTGGGAGTGGATATAGTGGAAGTGGAAGGGAGAAAGAAAAAGAGAAAGAGAAGGATGGTAGGTGGAATAGCAAACCACCCCCAACCCAATCCCAAGTTCAAATCCCAGCCTCTTCGAAATCCTCTTCATCCTCCCATTCCTCTTCGAACCCACCGAACCCACTCATCTCTCATCAAACTCAAATCCCCTCCCAGATCCCCTCCCAGGTCCCTTCCTCTTCCCCTTCTTATCCCTCTTCCCCATCTCCATACACCGCATCCCCATCCGATTTCAACTCATCAGCACCACCACGGTATTCCGTTTATTCACCTTCCCCTTCACCTTCACCTTCACCTTCGTCGTCCTCGTCGTTGACGATAACGTCATCTTCGTTGTCGTCCTCGTCGTTTGCCTCGTCGTCCTCGTCCTCGTCGTTGTCGACGTTAACGAACCATACCCCGAACTCAAACCAGTCCCCTAACCCAATTCCAAATCCAAACACCTCATCCTCATCCTCATCCCCATCCCTCGGCTCTCCAGAACCTGCCGGGCCTCCAGGATACACCAACACCCCTACCTGGGTGGAACAGTCTTCGGGTGTGAATCTCACTCCCACTCTCATTCCTCCTAACTCTACTTCTTCTATTTCTACCTCTGCTCCTTATCCCTCCCCTCCGAACACCAACACCCTTCCTCCCAACACCCCACACAACTCACACAACCCACAAACCGCACAAACCCTACCCAACCCCGCCGCGAGTCTCCCCACGAGTCGTCCTACGAGTCTACCTAGTCACGGGGTCCATGGTGCTAACGGTGCTCAAGTCGTACACAGCGTCCACGGTGCTCACAGCGCTCAAGGCGTACACAGTGTCCAGAGTGTCCACGGTGCTCACAGCGCTCACGGCGTCCACGGACAAGGAACGACATCATCGAGTATCGAAGGAGTAAAGGGAATGACGCTGGCGCAGAGGTTGTACGCGAGTGCTTTCGTTACTCCTTCTCCTTCTTCGTCTGCTTCGCGTGCTCCTCTTCCCATTACTCCCAACCATAATCCCCTCCCCACCCCTCCTATCCCCTCCCACCCCTCTCACCCGTCGATAATCTCATCCGCGGCGGTTTCCGCTGAGGCTTATCACCATAATCTTAACCATAACCTCAACCTCAATCCTAATTCCAACTTCAATCCTAATTCCAATTCCAAATTCAGCCTCGATAACTCTAACTCTAGTACCATCACCCTCGGGAACGGGCACGGGTTAGGACACGGGAATAGGTTAGGGATGGGAACAGGGATGGGAACAGGGATCGGGACAGGGATTGGGACAAGGACAGGAACCGACACCCGCAGATACTCTGAATCACTGGAATCGTTTTATAAAACAGGGGTTTTGCAGAGTTTGCAACAACAACGACCACAGGGACAGCAACAACAACGACCACAGGGACAACGACCACAACAACAGCAGCAATTTCGACCACAGGCGCATATCGTGACTGGGACCGGGACTGGGACTGGAACTGGAACTGGGATTGGGACTGGGATTGGGACTGGGAACGGGTCGTACGGAATCCCGAATACCCTTGTGAGACCGCAGGCTCAGAAGATTCAGAAGATTCATAGGATCGATGAGATCGGGTACGG